TTGGGGCGGCGGCGGCGGCGGCGGCGGAGGGCCTAACGGGCCGGGTCTCTACCTGCCTGCGCGCCACGCCCTCCCGCCCTTCGCCCAGTGAAGGGCGCGGCGCCGGGGGTGGCAGAAAGGGACTCACCAAACATTAACCACAAATGCTATTGAATGGTGCAAGAGTATGATGGTGCTCATATTCGTTAAAAAAACTGATTTTTTTTAAAGTGCAAAAGAGAATTAAGAAAAGAAATGAGTACTTTTCTGGTACTTTCGCGAGAAAGTACGCGCTGTTTGAGCACCAGTGGTTTTAAGAAGAGTTGGTGGGGGTGGCTCTTTCTTCGCCGCTTCCCACCCCCGTCTGCCGCCACGCGCGGGCGGGGGAATGCAGCGGCCGCCGGGGAGGGGACCGCACGCAACAGGTGCTCCGGGGAACAGGTCCGCGCCGCCCCCCTCCCCCCGCCGCGAGCAATCTCTTCAGCCCTCGCGTCGCAGGGGGCGGCGCCTTTGTTAATGTCGATGGTTGGTTGGTTGTTAGTGACTATTAGGGTCGTTAGTCCTCTAAGTGTAGTGCATGTTTGTTCCTCCTGAAGAGGATGGCGAGATTCGGCACCGATCTACCGCTGGCTAGCGAGGTTTCCTCAACCAGGTATCTCCCACAGCAGGGTACCGCCCCAGCCCGGGCAAGCTCTAAACTCCCGACCGGTCTCCCGACATGTGTGGTAGTGTAGTGAATGGTAGCGAAAGTATAAGGATGAAGATAGGAAAAGAAAAGTAACAAACAGGCGCGCGGTCCGTTGCCTGTTTGTTACGGTTCTGCACCGGCATTCGCCTGGTACTGAGCGGAGAAACCACGATTAGAACAGCCGACCGCTCTAATTCTCCTCCAGACAGAGACTGAACTCGACCTAGCTGACAAGCTAGTGTCGAAAATCCTGCCACCTAGGACCTCCCGGTGATGACACTCTGATTAGTACAATCAGTCCACATTTTTTTCTCATTTCGATTTCTTTTCTTTCGTGTCTTGCTAAAATGAAAGAAGACGACCTACTAGAAAACCGGATGCAATGAATTACAGTATACTACCAGCGATACTAGGAGGATAATGAACCACCAAAGATGTCTGCTTCGAGGGTTCACCAGTGTGATAACGACGAACAAACCACATACTGTTTACACGCGATTTGTGGACGTGAATCAGCTGATAGAAACTGAATAGAAAACACGTGATCAAAATGACTTGGTCTTTTATGTGGATATAAAGTTTCGTGAAAAATATTGCTCTAATTGTTCACTGTAAGAATTAGATAATAATAATAATAATAATAATAATAATAATAATAATAACAACCAATAATTATACGATAAAGAGCTCATGAACGTTGGAGCAAGTTACTACACTCTGCCATTTTACTGGTCGCGCAATGAAGCGGGTCAGCAGCTATTGGTCCGTCGCATCGGCGGCAACGCAATCTCCTGGGCCGGAGAAACGAACTGGGATCCACGCAGGCGTTAAGTTGCAAATCTTCCCTCCCGCGCAAGAAGAATACTATCAGAAAGCAAACAAGCGGCGCGGAGCAGATAGCGAGATCTCCCGGGAAGGGGGCTGCCTTGCCTTCGCCGACAAAGAATGACAGCGGCGGCAGCTGGCGGCGATCGCTAACCTAGGGCTAGCGCACATTCCCTTCTTGGTTGAAGAATAACCGTCCGGGTGGATTTTACAAGAATGGACGAGATGGAATTGGAAGGCTGTGGGGGTGTTACTTTTCAATGCAGCCTACACGTTGGACGTGCGAAGGATACAACGTTTATATAAATAAATATTGCATAAATAAATGGCATGTAACTTCTACTTTCTCGCGTAACAACCGCCACAAACCATAGATCAACTGCTCCATGAAATGCGACAGTGCTGCCGTTAGCTGATACAACATACTGTGGTGCTGGGTATAGATTCTGTGCTCAGCCGAGTTAATACTATTCTGCTGGCCAGTGAAGTTAATATATGTGGTGCTTATATTTCTAGCAAGATGCCAAAAACCTTGAATACTTAGAAAAAAGTTCAAAGCGTTTGTTGCAAGATTCAGAGCAAAGCAAAGTTGTTGAGAGAGATTTTAACAACCATCAAATATTTTTGGTATAAAAGTGGGAAAGACCGTAATGAAAATGAAGTAGGTCTAGTGTGTGATGTGAAAGTGATGACAATAATTGAAGTATTTATTTTTTTCAGTAGTAGGTATTTTGTCGGTAAGAAAAATAAATTATTGCATTAAAACATTTTATATGAAGCGTCCTCCTTTTTATTAAAAATGTTATCTTTTTCCAAAATGGAAATATGGTAATCGTATCGCTAGCCGATGCCCGAACTTCCGCTATTCATTTTCCTTTAGAATGCGGGAGCTCCGTTTTTGAAACGTACCTCGCGGTACTCCAAACGATGTCTTCTTATTATAAACGCGGGCCAAATGTTCTTTAATTAAAAAGGACATAAAATTACAGGAATAAAGCGATTAGGATTGTTATCAGGCATTAGAATGCAATATTAGCATACAAAAAATATTATTACTCTAAACCTTTTCATTATAACGCGGACAGCTACTTTTAGTAACATTATTCTAAAATAACACTTGAGACATGTTGCAATTTGACTCTGATATTTTGCTCCGAAACAATTTTAAAGAGGTTCTTCAGCTGGAGGGAAGTAGATAAACTGTCTATCAAGCCTTTTACTCGTTAAAAATGTCTCTGGTTCATTCTGGAGTGTCTGCAAAGAATAGATGTCTTTTATGTTTGCTCAGAGATTACTACATCCAAATAGAGCAACTAAACGCTAAGCAAGATAATTTCGCGAAAGATCGTTACATGCTCGTTATTCATTTAAAGAAAAGAAGTTGATAAAGAACATCATGTCGAAAGGAAGTTGATTCATATTGCTTGTTTCCGACATCGATAGAAGTTTGTGCATGCGTAACTAAAACGAGTCAATGACTGAATGACGCTTAAATCGGCTAGCAAAGAAAAATAAATGAGTGATTACAGAGAGCAATTAATGGAAAGTTCTCACATTTACAGCCATTCCCTGTGCGTGATATGTTTTAGATCTTTAATATTGGTATCCCATTTAGTGTTAAAAGTAATATTTCTTTTTTTCTAGAAATTTACAGAATGGTAGTTGACATCTTTGTATTAAGCAGCGAAAGCGCAACGTATAGACGAAACACAATCGGCTGTCAAAAAATTTCGTATTTCAATTATATATTTTTTAAGTTAAATTATATATTTTCTTATTTTTTACTTTTCATAAAGTGAAAAACAAAGACACAACAAAAGTAACTAATTCCATCTCTTTACTTGTCGAGTACCGTCGTAGGAAATGTGTATTTAAAGGCGACATCTCATCCAGAAGTGAAACGGGTTCCATCACCCGTGTAGAAGCAGGACAGGCATCCGCCCTCGTCGAGGAACGGTGGCGCCATCTGCCCAAGCGGAAGTGTCAGAAAGCAGAAGCACCGCTCCGGTTCACGCTGCCTCCAGCGCAGATCGAAGGCTCTGCGTCATTCGCTCCGAGTTGCAATAACTAAAATTGAAATTTATTCGCCTGAGACGAGAGTTAAATTTGAAAGACGCCGGCGTGAGTGTAGCTGTGCTATATCTGTATTCACTGCATAAGATTTAACTCGCTATTAATGTGCACTTTCGTTTTCTCCTGCAAACGACTTGGCAACTGCGATGCAAGGAGAGGTACCACAGCGTATAAAGTTAATTACGTTCTAATTATTCTTTTCAGAAAATAAAATGCTGTTTCAAATAAGTTTCGATACCAATTTAAAAAAAAACATTATAATTAGGTAACTGGAGACGATTTTCAGCAGGTAGCGTACAATGTGTACAGAATAAGACTCACGAAATGAGACGATACGATAAAAGAAAGGAGGAAGCAAGGAAAAAGAACCAGGCATATGAGAACAAATGCAGGAAGAAGTTGAAAGACATGAAAAGAGAGTAAGAGGAATAAGGACGCGCAAGAAAAAAGCGGATTAGAAGAAAAAGACATAGAAGAGAAAGATAAGAAGGAAAAGATAAAAGGAAAGAGGAGAAGAAGAAGAAAGCGAAAAAAAGGGAAAAAGAACAAGAGGAAGAAGAAGGAGAAGATGGCTCCTGGTCCGTATCGTCGACTGCTGTTGTCCCGGTTCTTCCCGGCTTCTTGGGATTCACCGCTTCAATCTTCTTGTTTGCAGGTCGTCCATGCGGCTAAGATGTGCCAGGGTGCGATCGAAGATCGATAGCGCTTTAACGTTCGGGGGTGCACCAACTCCCTATTGCCGTTCGTAGGGAGTGTTTGCAGCCTCGCACGCAAACTCCGTATTGGAAGCCACTCGTTTCAGAAGCCCCCATCGACTGGGTTGCCCCTGGGGCCGTGTGAAGCGGGCTCATCCGTCCCCTCCTCATTGAGCCGATTGCGGCGTCGCGCCGCGCTCCGCCCTGACCCGCGCAACCCCCGCAGCCAGCGAATGAATGAACGGGAGGGCGCAGGGGACGCATAGCTTGACCTCAGCCTCCGCCCCCTCCCCCCCCCCGCTCGCCGGGGGGGGGGGGCGATACACTCGTGCTCTCTTCCTGGCGATAACCCTTTTCCTAGGACCGACGCACTGGGGGCGGCGCGGCACGGCACGGCACGGCATGGGCTGGGCTGCGAGGGTATTCGGCGTGGACACAAAGCTCACATCGGGAAACCAGTGGAGCTTAACACCACGTTCTTTCTCGCCCGTAGTTACGCCGAAAGTACTCACTCTTCTAATCCTGTTTAGAAGCGCACTTTCTGCATTCTACGTACATTATTCACAATTGGGTTGGCTTACACTGTTCATGATTTTTCGTTCATAAATTAACTTAATACAAATCAGGTGTTTTTTTTCGTTTATTTGTTCTTTCATCTCGGATTTGTTCCGATGAACCGTAATTTTGGGGATGCGCGGTTCAAATGAGTGGTGTTCTACAACGTTCTAAACGCAACTCACCCAGAGGTCGTCGAGGGTGATGCTGTTGTCGGTGTAGAAGACTAGTCGCTTGGCGGAGAAGGGCAGGCTCTCGCGCAGTTTGGAGCTGAGCAGCAGGCACGTGGTGCCCAGCAGCTGCAGCTGCGTCTTGCGGATGTTGCACACGCTCAGGAAGCGGTCCATGTAGTTCACCGCCAGCAGGAACACCTCCTCCTGGCGCTTCTGCTCCTCGCACACCTGCGGGCACAAAGGGCGCACCGGCGTCAGCCACGCGACGTCACGCCGAGACAACAGCCACGTTCGCGATACGGCCACGGCTTTTAACATCCATGTTTTAAGGTTGGTTTAGAAACCGCTAATATTAAACTCGTGCGTACCAAAATTTAATTTGATTCAGCGTGTTCATTAATTTATATTTAAAATTTAACTGAAAACAAACATATACAACGTCTCTCTACGTGCGAAATACAGGAATGACGAAGGAAATACCAGGCCATCAGGATAATCTCACGCAAGGGATGGTAGTCTGCTCGATGAAAATAGAACAAACCGCGTTCGTTTCGATCGATACAAACAGATATTGGAATTATCAATTATTGTTTCTTATTTACTTATACAAAATTGTGATTATTGGCATCTTTCACACACGAATAAAACCAAGAAAACGTATAAACATGGAACCGAAAATATCGAGGTTCAATGAATATCGTTTTTAATACATCGGTGTTCAAAACATCGATATTTGTATAGAGAGGTCGGTCGATGCTTTCCAAACATCAACATCGATGTCGGGGGGAGCAGGTGGGGGGGGGGAGGTGCGCAGAGGAGCAAGGCCCCCGCAACAGCGCCATTTCTGCGCCCCCCCCCCCCCCGCCATACGCCTCCAGCGACCCGCTTCCACCCACGGTACGAACGCTACCACACTGGCGTACTTCTCAGATAACAAGAGTTTTACCTGCATTTCCCTCATAACCAAATACATTTTAAAACTTTTAAACGAAGTACACCTGCATATAAGTCCATTCTTTATTTAAATAATATATTACATTAAAAGAATAATATTGGAAGTGTTGTTTAATGCTAATAACTCAATTTCACAAACATATGTGCGAAGGCCTCTTGTTCTGCTCACCCCTTTCACGCAATTCGCCACAGCAATTTTTCCGAAAAATTTTATTTCGAATTCGATTGCTTCTTTTGTGAGTCCCGGTTAATATTTCTAGTCGCCAAATAGTGATAAGTCTCTAAGTATAATTTGTAGCTTTATTAACAAAACCGTCATGTGGAATACGAATTTTGTATAGATGTGAAAACAAAAATGTAGCTGAAAATATTTATCATCCGAAATGTTTTTGTTCCTTTTACTTTCATTGATTACGAAAAAAAGCAAGGAAATCGGAAGGTAATGAAGGGAGCAAAAGAAATAAAAATAAGAAACGACGATAAAAGAAGAAACAAAGAAAGAGATACAGAAATAAGAAATAATGCACAAAAAGAATAAACAAGAAGGTAGGAGAAATAACAACGAAGAAAATGACAAGAAGATGTGATGGAAAAAGGTGGAGAAGAAACAAAACTAGTGTCGTCGTGCCACGGAACTAAGAAAAAGAAAGAAGCCGAAGAGCAACGAGAAAAAGATGGAATGGTCTTCTCGCGGATCTACTAAAATAAAGAAGCCGAACAGCAAGAAAAGAAAAGAAAAAAACGAAGAAAAAGAAGAAGAAGAAGAAGAAGAAGAAGAAGAAGAAGAAGAAGAAGAAGAAGAATGAGGAGGAGGAGAGCAGGGCGAAGGGGACAGTATCCTTTCCTCATCAACAGAAGCATCGCTAGGTCGAATTAAGTCGCTGTCTGGAGGAACGTTTTAGGGGCCGACTGCTGTGATCTGTAGTTTTCCTTGGTTTCTCCGATCAACACCAGGTGAATGCCGGAGCAGTACCCTAACATTCTGGCCAAGGACCGCGGCAATCTTTCCTTCCTTGTCCTATCCTCACCCCTTACCCACACTTGCACTGACATGCACTACACCACCGGAGATGCCGGGAGACCGGTCGGTGGCTTAGAGCTCGTCCCCGCTGGGGCGGCGCCCCGTGCGTCGGGGGACGACGGTAGGTCGGCACCGGATCTCGCCATGAAGCGGGGGTACATCCCGCCCCCTCCGAGGAAGAACGTGCACTACGCTCACGGGACTAACGTCCTCGGTAGTTGCTCGCGCCCGGAATCACTACGAAGCAACGAAGACGGGGCAGGGGCAGGGCGGGCGGCCGCGTGGGCTATCTGCCCTGCGGAAGCGCGCGCCCTCTCACAGGAAGCAGCTGATTAGGATGCGCTGCGCCCGGGTCCCCCGGAGGGGCAGACTGCCCGGCGCGCCCCGCCCCGCCCAGCTCAACCACCAAGTCACCCTCGTTCGCACTGCCTACCCATCACCACAGGTAGAACCAATATCTCTTTGCATTCGATCGACGTTTGTTCATGGAGCAGACTGCCATCCCTTGCTAGAGAAGATCCTGATGGCCTGCTATTTCCTTCGTCTGTGCTGTGTTTCGACCAGAGAGCGACATTGCATAACTGTGAGTTAAATTTTAATTGCGAATAATAAGCTCGGCCAATGTCAAATTAAATTTTGTTACGCACGAATGTAATATTAGCGGTTACTAAACTAACTTTAAAACATCATTGTTTAAAAACATTAATGATTTTGGTCGATGCTTTATTAAATTCATTTTTTATTCTGAACATCGATGTTTGGCGACCGATTATGTATTTAACATAATCATAACATATTTAATATATCATATACAATTTCAAAAGATTACATTATTTTGTTAAAAAATTACAGTATTTATGTGTGGTAAATTAACGTTAAATTATTCCAAATGCTGTGTTCTTGTTTTTTAGAAGCCCGTCATAACCCTGGGGTAAAGCTGAAAGTGTTCTATAGTGGAAATCCCGCTTGCAGCGCGCGCGAGGCAGACAGCTTCTCTAATGGCGTTCCACGCGCCGTCGCCGCATGAAATGCGCTTCGCACTCGACAATGGGCGAGGAGCGTGTGAGTCTGAGGCTCTCGCGCCAGCCACGCGACGCCCTGCACTACTGCGACCGACGGCTTCGTAGCACCTCTCAGCCGCACGGTTCTTCAGATACCATTGCGCTTACAACACAAACAACACGGGAAAGTGTACGTCTGCGCTGAAATCACAAGACGTGTTTACAGATTTACAGAATGTAATCAACCCACGAACGACTTTATCACGGTGTAGTGATACTTTAACATTGTCTCCTTATCGCGATACACTTACGTTCCGGGTAGGAACTTTCTCGTCTAATTTACATTTTAGATTTCGATTTTTTTGAGTTTTTGATCGTGTTCTGATGATTGGTAGCATTGGTGTGTTGATTTGTGAATAATTTAACGTCCGTTGAGTGTTAGTGTTTTTACCAACATGCCTTAGTCATTTACTCTTTTTGTGGTTTATGAACCGAGGGAAGAATTTCTTGACTAAATTATGAAATTTATTCTTTTCTGCAATCCGTCTCGATAAAACATTTCGCATTTATGAGATCTTTCGATTAAAAGTTCTCTTGTTTAATGCGTAGGTTTTTTGAGGGAAATACTTTATTGTCATTACTAAATTTCATTTGGTTAATAATTTGTCTGCTCTGCTTTCATCTCCACGAAAACATTTCAATGTTCACATTGAAATAGTACACAAATAAACACACCAATACAACCAATCATCAGAGCATGATCTAAAACTCAAAAACATTTTCAAAATCTGAAATGTAAATTAGTCGAGGAAGTTCCCACCCGGAACGTAAGTGTATCGCGATAAGGAGACAATCCTAAAGCGACACTACACAGGTGATAAAGTCGTTCGTGGGTTGATTACATTCGGTAAACCTGTAAACAATTTTTGTGTGATTGCAGAACTGTAGGTTCAGACGTACAGTTTCGCATTTTGTTTAAAACAGGTATGTCCAGTTACGAAAATTAAACAAAAACCGTTTTAAAACACTTATTTCAAAACCCCAAGAATTTGTTTTATATCTTGAAGAAAAACATCGCGCTGAGTCTGAAGGCTCCCTGAGGCGCAGCGTGGGTGTCAGCCGCCCGGGTGGAGGGCAATTTCTCTGCCATTTTTAGGTATGTCAATTTAAAGGCTAAAATATACAATAATTCTAAAGAACGTTTCGGCAAGAACAATCACCTTATTGTGTTTTGTGCAGGTTACAAATAAAAGTCATGTATATGTTTTACAACATAACAATCACATGTTTTACAATATAATAATCATTATGCAGTCGTTTAAAGAACTCGGCACAGAATAAGTAACAAAAGATTCCGTGCTCATTTCAATCGGTTCGAATCGTAGGTGCGCCAGAAACATGAAATGAAATGTTCACAAGGTTAATTTTGCAACCTTCTAAAAGACCGCACCTACCGCTCCCACTTAATGGCGGATCCAGAGGGGGGACGTGGAGGCCATGCCCTCCCCCCACAAGACTAGAGTTGTTTTTTGTTACCGTCCTTTATTTGGCAAAATATATTTAAATATTTATTGATGTTAGAATTATGTTAATATTTAATAAATAATATTGAATAGTACACTACAAAAATTAAATACAATATAATAATAAAAATGTTTCTTATTTAACAAAAATCTTTTATGGCCCCCTCCAGAAGGGACTCGCCCCTGCCCCCACTGCGCTACGCCGCTGGGGCCACCTGTTGACGAGGTCCCAGCGCAGGAGTACAGGTCCCATTTCATTCATTCCCTGAATAGCTACTAATTCCCTCTCGCCCCACACGTCCGCCTTTGTCCGTAAGAGCGACGATTGTCACAACTCTGGGATGCTGGGATGAATGAATGGAGAGGATCACTTTCCACAGCGCGTTCATTCACGGGTGGAGATGCAGGACATCGTGTGGATGGTGGAGATGCGACACGACAAGAAAACACCGATGTTCTAAATCAATATCATTAAAACCAATAGTCTTTAACTATACATACAAAATGCCCCAATAAGGGCGGTGCATCTCAAAAAGTTTATCGCTTTTCTATCCGACGTTTCTTACCGCTTCTACCTGCTGGCCAATCACAAACTGGGATTCATCTGTCTTGGGAGGCGTTATACTCGTACATCGATTGCTATGTCGATGTCCAATAAAGGGTGTATCCTCTGATTCTAACATACGCTTTCAGTTACTTTCAATACTTGGCGCATTTTGGAATTAGTATGTTGGAAATCGTTTCACTCGTGGAATAGTCCTCTTAAATACCTCTCGTTCTTTGTAAATTCTCAGAGAAATCCCTTCCTCGCTTCGCGAGTCGTGAATTTATCGACAATTTCCGAAGCACTGGTGGCATTACCTAGGACAATGGCCGTGCTTATTAGTTTTAATTAAAATTGAACTGAAAACAAAGTTAAGAATCGTGTATCCACGTGCGAAATACAGGAAAGACGAAGGAAATGCGAGGCCATTGAGATCATCTCGATCAAGGGGAGTGTCGATCAAGTCGAGTCTCGAGCAAATCGCGTTCGTTTCGATCAGATATGTTGAATCGATTGTTGTTTCTCATTTTAACTTCTACAAAATTTTGATTAAGGGCATATTTCATCCACGAAGAAATCATTTAAAAAGGAAAAACATCGTACCCGAGCCATCGATGTTCAAAAAACATCGGTTTTAATACTTCGATGTTTAAAACATCGCAATCGATGTCGCATCGTGAATGGGTCGGCCTCTCGTTCAACAGAGCTCTCGCCTTAGTGGAAGCGGCATTTTTCTTTCTTTCTTTCTTTCTTTTTTTGGCGTTCCACCGCGAATTCTCAAGCCTTCCACCCTCTAAAATGCAGCAATTTCTAAGACGTACCTGTGCTAATGGGTGTCCTTTTACTCTTTCTAGAAAACCAAGTTTTGCCGAGCGAGCGAGGTATACATTATTGCTATGTCGTGATATTTGAGTTTTCTCTTTCCTGTGTAATTTTAGGCGTGCTTTGGAATAAATTACAACAACGTTGATTTTTTCGTAACTTCATTAGGGCACATTTCTTCAACAGCGCACTGAATAGGCGCAATAGATGTAACTACGCCGTAAAATCTATTTGTGAATAATTAAACCGTCAACGAAAGTGAAGGAAGGGGGAACAATTCATAACGCACTTTCCAGAAAAGTACATATGTTGTATTGAAAAGTAAATCCACTACTTAAGGATGAATGGTAGCTTCCTAATACTTTGTTTGTTGATGAAAGCCTTTAGGACATGAGTTACATTAAGAATATATTTTACGAGCGTACTCGCAATTTCTTTGCTTTTCTAGTTGGCGGATCAGTCCTAAAACCAAAACGCTTATAAGAAACTAATTCTAACGAGTTGACGATAAAATTATGAATATTTTTTTTTTGTTTCACAGATTTGAACGTGATTAATGGAATGGCGTAAATTTTGCTTCTGCTCAAAACAAAGACGGAACATCGAAGAAAGCAAGTTGCACCAATGAGAACGCAATTCAATAAAAAATATTAAATTTTCATTTCACTAAAAATATCAAAACAAAACAAAAAAAACACATTCACTTCACATAAAATGATTCTGAATGAACTAATTTGAAGTATTTTAGCTTATCGTACACTTTCGTAATTGGTTTCACTCGTCAACCAATTATCTCTCGTCAACCATCCCTTTACCCTCCTGGTTCAATATGACAAAAAACAACCCTCAATATCGAAGAATATGTAGCGATGTTCTACACAAATAATAAATAATTTTCATTCATTCAATAAACTTACATAAGTGAAGGTAGGAGCCCCTCAGTGAGTATGCCCACACACATATCAACTGTTATACGCGTTTGGTACTGGAATATCCTGATGTGTTGTATGGTGAAGTGCAAAACCAACAGTCTTGAGGAAAGAACAACTAGCGAACCATCCACTCCACCAACAACTCACCTCCAGCATCCACTCGGCGACAATGGTCCTCATTTCTGGCGTGATCTCGCTCTGCACACACGAAAAATACGAGCCGGACGGCGCGTAGCGCTCCTCGGTTCTCAACAGGTTCTGTAACACTCGTTCATCGCCCAGCAAGACCGGATCCGGGTAGGCTTTGCAGTCGCACTCGGTTTCATTGCACAGAAGGTCCATTCTGCCGCGCACGCGGAGGCTGCCTGCCACTCGACACACCGCTGGCTACTCGGGAACCTCAACTCTGGTGCGGAGTCGTCTCACGCGATTTCGTTTCTCATTTATGAACTACTTGTCACACGCACGAAGACAAACGTACCAAAATCTCAGTCTAATGAACGGTTCCGCGATGAAGCCCGTGTTTCCTACGAAACGCGAACAGCTGATTGTCAACTTGGGAGCCGTTCGGATAAGCGCTCACAATAGACGCTGAGCTGACAACGCTCCGAACGCATCCGACCCTGGCAGTTCACCAGGCCAGAATAAACAAGTTGTGTCACACAGATTTCTCTCCGCCGGAGCCCGGCATTCCCGTCTACCCCCACTCCTCTGCCGACTCCCAAACCGCCTCCGCCAGGCGCCGCTAGTGCGGGGGGGGGGGCAGCGCCGCGAGAGAGAGTACGTTGTACTAGCCTTCCCGCAAACATGGACCCGACGAAAAGCAGAAATAGCGTTTATTTGTAGGTAATCTGCGATGTTATCCGTTCAAACAATTAGTAATAAGCGATATTTGCGACAAAAGACGGAGATTTCTGCGTACTTTCATTGCAAAGCGGTTCCCCGTGGAGGGCCTCCGCGGCGCGCCGCCCCTCCACTTCCCCCACCCTCGCGCCGCCCCTCCGCGCGGCTTCCGGCCTGGTTGGGCCCGGCCCGCAGCGCAGACGCCGCCGGGCACCACACGCTGCCGGAGGTGCGAGTGGGCTCTGGCACTGGGCACGTAGGCCAGCGGACGATTCGGAAGGTTAAAACGACTCGCTTCTGATCAGCTGTGCTTAAGCATTTCTTGAAGTGTATTTTCATTTTTATTAAGGCATGTGATGTGTTCGCATACTGTGATATTTTCGATTATATTCGGAATTTTTTTGCATACACTATTTTGTGACCGATCTGAATCGTATCTAATTAGGAATTTAACATACCAGCTCCTAGACGTTTCCTGCTAGCGAATTACGTAAACGTTCTATGGTTAGTATGACCCCTCCACCCAATATGGTTTCCAAAATTGTTTTCGATTGCGATGTAAAATCATCTTTGAAAACAGAACTTCGGATAGTTCTCTTTTGTCTCTCTTCAGTTATGCTTATTTTTAGTAAACTAATATTGAAATACAGCTTTGCCAAAGGCCTAGAATTGTTTATGAGTTTTGATTATATTCGCTCCCTCGTGAGTTTCCAAGTCGAAACACATTCAACGAAACGTTGGAATGTTCTTTGTTCTCGCTCCCCCTGTCGCATTTGACCATTTATAGGAAGTCGCTCTACCACCCTGTTGCCGCTTCAGGCCGCGGTCGCTCTATCGAAACGTCTAGAAACAGGAATCTGAGCTGCTTGTGACAGGTTTTCAAATTTCTCGGTCTAGACCGGAATGTTTTAGACACTCGTACATTTTCTAAAAAGCGAATTCTTTGTTGAAAAGTGTTAAAGATTGAAAAAAACATCCAAAACACAGAAAATGAGCCCTATTTTGCTGTGAAATTCGTTGAAAACATGGAGCAACATTATTCTGCAATTTTGGTGGGAGACAATAGTGGCTACGTGAATTGTTTGCTTACTTCACGATCCTCAGACGTTACCTACAACAACAAAATTGCATCATTTTAAAACATATTTTTCTGAAACTTGATCCTCTTCAAAAGAGTTTTAGTAAACTAAACAAATTGCATATTTATCAGAGCAAGAAAACCTCATATTTACCAACTAGTTTTATTCAGTTTCCTTTGATTCGTTGAGTAAAAGCTGAGATGGCCTCTTTGTTTTGCTTCTGGACTAAAATATAATTTCACTATGTGCACGTTCTGATGCGTTCTTTTCGGTAGTGATAGGAAGACTTCAGTCGTAGATTGATACTTTTCAGCAATAGTATACAACTGAATCTGTAATTCGGTTCCCGGTAGAGTTATGTTTATTGCTTAGGAGCGAAAATTTCTAGTTTCGAAATAATGGCAACTGCGTTTGCTGGTGCTTTTATTTAGATTCTTCTACTTTTTACTGCTTTTTTGAAGAATAAGAAATTTGAAATGTTGGAAAAGGAATGAAGAGTTTACCATCAAATATCAAATTTATAATGCATCGTTAGTCGAGATTGCACAATTCTTTCCAAACACAGTTTGATCCGCGATTTTCTAATCGTCTCTAGAAATACTTCTCTACTCCTACATTACATACAGTTTCATGGATTTTTTCCGATGGGTTTATTCAAATAAATCATGTGAAAGTTCTATTGTTAAACATCAATACGATTTCTCGAATACAACAATAGGGAGTTACATTTTATTCACGCCACAGCTGACAAGAAACAATGTCAGAGATGAAACTTGTGACTTTATTTAATGCGATATCTGTTATAAATCTTACAATTGAGTTTTCTTTCCTCGAAACTTCTTTTTTAAAGAATACAGTTAAAAAAGTTTGGGAAAATTATTTTTTAATGTCCAAAAGGCATCTACGAACCAGCTTGGAATAAAAGGGCGAATAACTAATAGAATTAAAATCTCGAAGTTGTTTGTATTTTAAAATAATAGAAATGGTAACGCATTATTATGACTTCAACCCCGATGAGAAAAACATATTTTTAGAAACGGTGCCGTTGGGGAGGGCCGCGAGAACGTCATAACCCCAGAATACCACACTTCGCGACCACTCCGTAGGGATGTACTTACAATATCGATAATCTGCCGCTGTATCGGAAATAAGAATTAGAGACATTTAACATCTCGTGCAGCACCTTAACGTTTACCACTTTGGAGTCTGCGTATGGGTGTGAGTGTGTGTGTGTGTGTGTGGGGGGAGGCAGAGGACATTGATTGTTCCTACCCGGTCAGATTTGTCAGATAGAGTAAGCATTTAATATTGTCATAGCAGCCAATCATAACAGGTATTATCCGCGCCCCATTTCTTGAGACCTCGCTTCGCTGAATTCGAGAGGAGTGGGAAGTTTGGTTATTTTGACAAAAGGAATTTAACGTCGAATTTTGTAGTTCATTTTTCCATGCAAAATTGTTTTTAATTCACGGGAGCAAACATTCCTCGACACCAGATTTTGTCTACAACTCTCATTGCTATTATTTATTCTTAATGCAACCAATGTTGGGAGAGGAGTGGGAGTTAATATTCCGGGGCTCAAGGAAACGTGCGGATAAAATAGATTAGCGAACATGTTATAACATTGTACGATGTTAAACCATATTTTCAATATCAAGAAGTATTGCTTGTTTATTTCATTCTTGTTACCTTTTTTTAGTGACAATGTCTACTAATAAATCTACATTTTGTGGTCGTATTGGAGTTAAAAGGAATTGTTTGCAGCAACTGACAGCGTCCGTGAGAATCTGCGCGTCTGCAGTTCGAGGTGTGTATTCACAGAATGCTCAAAAGCGGTAAAAGTGGTTCGCTACTCTGCGAAATATCGTATTGATACATTTTTAGTTTCTCGCTACCTAGTAGAGAGGCGAATTTTCGAGGGAAACTAATATTATACGCCATGGTAACGAATAAAATGGGTAAATTCAGTCGCTAAATTTAGGGGGGGGGGAAATCCTCTATCACATGGTGTAACCAGAATGCATGTTTTGTGGGTCCTTGATACCCACAAATCAATCGACGTCAAAACGTCTGTCCGTCCGTCCGTCTGTTCGTCTCTGAATAGCGTTTGTGGCTAAACTGTTTAGCAGATTTTCTCCAAAATTGATATTCCCGAATTGAGCTTGCTGATGTCACGCCCTCATGAATTTAAAACCGATATTTGCATTTTGGGGGGATACTTAATACAAAGTCCATGAGACACTTTCCAAATTAAAAAAAAGGCTCCATTGTATTTTTTTAAATTGTGTTGTTGGATAGTGTGAAGGACGTTTAAGAAAACGGCGTATGGTCGTTAAAAACCATAATTTTTCAAACAATTACAAAAGTTCTAACTTTTTTAGGAGTCTGCCTCCAGCAAAAATATTAAATATAGAGATTTTTCCCCCTAATGAAATCTGTACCTTACAGATAGATTTTGAAAGAAGGTCATGTACAGTATTTGGGAAAATCCGAGTACTTGAGAGTGAATATAGAAGCGAGAAAGTTCGCGCTGTGGTGGCAGCCGGTTTCCGAGCGTGCCGTCTTCCTGAGCGCGGCGGGGCGGCGCGCTGCGCTGTCGCTCGCCGCAGCGCATTCTTTGCTCCCCCCCCCCCGA